AGAGTTTTTCCAGAATTTTTGAAAATTGTGACAACAGAGAAACCGGTCTATAATTTGTGAAGTTGTGCTTATCACCAGATTTATACAGTGGAATAACCTTTGCTATTTTCATATTATTGGGGAACTGCCCAAGTCGAAATGACATGTTAAAAATATGGGTTAATGGTTTGCATATCCCCTCGATTGCCCCTTTAACCATTGTCATAGTGATACCATCACTATCACTAGATGTTTTGTTACCACATTTATTCACTATCTCTATAATTTCCTTTTCAACTATGAGCTTCAAAAACATAGAACTCATGTTCCTTTCAATTGTATTATTATTTATAGTGACAGGTGTATCATCTGTACAAATACTTCTTGCTAAACCAGGACCAACATTCACAAAGAACCTATTAAACTTATCTACTACATCCTCCAATCTATTGACCGGTGTGTCATTATCCATAAAATATTGGATGGTGTAGGACTGTGTATATTTTCTGCTTGACCATTCTATGAACATGAAGTCTGGGTATCTCAACCTCTGCTGGTCTGACTTTGACCTTTTTAAATCTCTCATACAAGCCCTATAACTTCATGAAAGGACAATAATAACTTTCTGAAGTGCCCCTTTAATTCCAAGACTGGGCGCAGTGTAGCATAGTTTCAGGCTAGTTTTAAACAAGGACTGATTAACATTAAGTCACATTCAGTGCCAAATTATCCAGCAGAAGACAGACTCTGTGTCAAAATTAACAGGAGCATTATTAGCACACTAATCCATAATTAAAGAAGTTCTTCTGTGTTGCACAGTTTTATATGCAATTAAACTCCATAGATTTTACAAATCTAGATCTTGGAAGTCCTACTGCTTATGTAAAAAAGTTGTAATTTAGGCATCAGGTTTTCCTGAGGCAGAAGAGTGTATGAAATAAAAGCAAATAATATCACTGGTATACAGCATCAATTTAACTTTTTTAAAAGTTGTATTACTAACTGTCCATTATGACAATGAGCACAGGATCAGAACAATATATAAAGAGTTTGATTTAGACCTAACTCACTAAACATATCCTGCATGCATTGCTCAGCAAAGGCCAGCAGACCCTGCTGCCCAGAGTTGTTGTGTGGCTGGTGAAACTACAAACAGGACCTAACAGCTATACATATAACAGCTATAGCTTAGAGCAATTTTGATGTCACCTACTGAAGCCCCCAGGCTCTACATTTAACCATTTCCTGTTTGTTGGACTTTACATTTTTTTTACTCTACAATTCACAGGGAAGACATTCCTTTACTTGACAAAACTTATCTAACAGCTGTATGTGAAAAATCATTGTTTCTGGCTGTGACTGTAGCTTTACTGAATTAAGGTTTTAATTGCAACACCAAAATGATGTGTTATGATAAACCACACAGCACAGAAAAGCACCTACATATTTAAATGAATGTTTTTGAATGATTGTCCTCATTTTTATTAATGTTTAACCTCATGTGGAGGGTCACAGCGCTTAGCATTGTGCAAGGCCAGAGCTCAAAGACCTCAGAGAGTTGGCCCTGAGCGTTGAGACCTGCAGCCGTTCCTTGAGAACAGCTGGGATGGGAGGGGGTGGGGGGGGCTGGAGGGACAGCCGTCATCAGCAGGGCTCAGAGTTTCGTTGAGAACAGCTGGGATGGGAGGGGGGGGGGGGGGCTGGAGGGACAGCCGTCATCAGCAGGGCTCAGAGTGAGTGTCAGTCCGCTGAGCAGAGCACGGTGGCAGAGCACAGCAGCTGGACAGGGAGTTGCTGCTGGGCTTTGGCCGGGACAATCAGAGGAGCCAAATCACTTGGATCCCACAGCTGACTCCTGAAGGTGTAGATATGTTCGACAACTCTCACTACCCCTTCAACTGTTTTAACTACGATGGAGACGGATACCCTTCTTCTAGCACTGATGAAGAGAAGAAAATGTGTAGACCTGCGTACAGGTACAGAGGGTTTTGATCTCACCTTTTCTTTTTTAATATTTGTGTAAATTTTGCTAATGTCCTAATGTAGAAAGACACATTTAATAGGCTTTATAACTTTATGACTATACTGTAATTGTTATAATATATAAATTTTACCTGCCTGATATTTGGCCTTCTTTTTTCCAATTAAAAGTGCTTTTTTTTTTTATATGATTTTCATTTTATTACATCAAATCTCATTAGTTTCATTAGTTTGGGAGGAAAACAAAGTTTCCCAAAGCAACCTACTCCAGTTTTACTAGTGCCGCATTTTTCACTGACCTTAATGTGTACACAGATGATCAATTCAGCACTATTAAAACATATTAATAATCAATAAGTAACTCTTATTTTGGCACTCATTTCACTTCAAAGATGAATTTCTCTAATTTTCATTCATTTAAAAGATATGCAAGTATTGTATCAGTTTCTGACAGTAATTTATCTCAATACCACAGTCTACTGTAACAGTGACTTTTTAAGCTAAAGTAAAAATCTAAATTCTATTCAAAACCTTTACAATTCTGTTTGGGGATCTGCTTTCAGCTGAAACAAAATACATTACCTTATGACCTTTCCTAATTTTATCAGAAGTGCTTATAAACAGTTTTGGAAGTAAGCTACAAAAAGTATTTGTTAAAATCTCCACCCTAAAACATAGTTTGATAAACAGATTTGTGTTCAGTGATTGGTGATGACAGTAGTTTCTATGCAGTGCTACTCTCACATATCAAATAAGTCTATTTGGATTTTTGTTGTTGAAGTCTTGGTCATGGCCGATTTCATGTTTAGCACTTTCATCAAATTTTTTTTTGTGGCACACAGGAGGGCAATTGCTTCAATATGTTTCTATATTTTGGGTTTTAAACATGGTGTGAATGAAAAAAAAATGTTATAGCAGCAGGGTCTGTGGGATCCCAAACAATGTAAAGAGAGCATTAGAAAGTAAAGAAACTGTTGACAAAACACATGACTATATCTTTCACCGTGTAGTAGCTCTTTTTTTCATATCTGTGTGTCAGCTACATCGCTCTGATAGCCATGGCTATCCAGCAGAGCCCCGAGCAGCGGGTCACTCTATCGGGCATCTACGAGTTCATCATGAAGAGATTTCCTTACTACAGATCAAACCAGAGAGCGTGGCAGAACTCCATCAGACACAACCTGTCTCTCAACAGCTGCTTCATCAAGGTATGGCCACACAGACAGTAAGCTACACAAGGAGAAGTAATAGTCATAGTAGCATAGTGTTCTTTTTTCCTTTCCCTATTATTAATACTGTATTTCTTTGTCTCATTATTACTGGCTGCTTAAGATGTTTAATCATTATTAAGTATTTTTTATCTTTCCCTCAGGTTCCTCGGACAGAGGGCAACGAGAAAGGAAAGGGAAACTACTGGACTTTTGCCACAGGCTGTGAATCCATGCTTGACCTGTTTGAAAACGGCAACTTTCGGCGCCGCCGACGCAGGAGGAACATCAAAATGGGTCTACGTGATTCAGGGGAAACCCCTTTCCATCCATTGGAGAGCCACAGCAATCAACACGTGCCTGCAGCTCAGCGCACTGAGCCCAACTCCATGCTCTGCCCTTTGAACCCTGACAGGCCACGGTCAAGACCCCCGCAAAATCCCCTCATTCCTAACTCCACCCAGCAGGGAAAATCAGAGTCAGAAATCAAGTTTAGCATTGACTACATTCTATCCACCCCGAATCCACCCCTGCCTGGGTTCAGATCCTCCCAAGGGCCGATACATATAGGGCCTACAGGGCCACCTATACATGTTCTGGAGCCCCAACATCTGAACCTGCACTTCTGGACTCTGTGAACCAGTGAGTGCAACAAAAAGAAGAGACTGAATTTCTTCCTTCATGAGCATTTGTGTCCAAACATGGGAAATATCATCCAAAGATGAGAAATTTTAGAAGAAAAATTTTGTAAATGAGGAGCAAAATTAAAAAGGTATGGTGTGACAGATTCTCGATCGAAAAAAAAAAAAACACTTAAGAAAAAAAAAAGCTGTCTAAAAAAATGCATCCAAAAGAGAAAGCAAGCAAATATGAACAGTAAAGTATTAATATTGTCATCTTACTGTTTGTGCAGTGTCTAGTGCTGACATAGGCTAGGTTTACAGTATTCTCTCTCTATTAATGTCTATGCAGGACCCGGGAGCACAAATATGTGTTGAAAAAATGCTTTAAAACTCAGTTGAAAAAAATCAACTGGACTAGATTTCTAGGTCAAAGATGTTTCACCTCTCATCCAAGTTCTCATCAGAACTGATGAAGCAAAAAGTTGTTTTCAGCTTACTATGACCTGGATGACTAAGAATCTGCACAGACATTTAAAACTCAGTAAAAATTTATTTCATGTATGTATGGGATTATCTTCAAATCAGAAGTTAACATGGTTTTCTTTATAAAATAACAATTTTATGAGTTTCCCATGTTGCATGTCTTTTTTTTTAGCAGAGCAACACAGCCTGTCAAACCTTATATTATTTATAAAACTTCTCAGCTTTATTTCTGATTAATGGCACGTGTGGTCACATCGGTTTCACCTTTTCCTTTATTTTAGTTAGTGTCAGGACAATTGTCTCTCACGAGTGCAGCAAAACTTTCTAAAAATTAGAAGAAATGATCACATAAAAAAATTATATACCTGGTTATAGGTTAGCTTAAAACTGTTTAATATTCAACTGAAAACTTTTTTAAAATTTATGAATATATATACAGTACACTGAGCGTGTAAAATTTATCTGTCTATTGTTATTATTACTATTAATAATAATAATAATAATAATAATATCATCTCCACTTGTAAACAAAAGCTACACTACATGCTGAAATGACAGATTAGATTTTTTCCCCTCCAAGTGACTCAGATCTGATCTTTTCACGGGTTTGTAAACAAGCCAAATCAGATTTTTCAGGTCACATATGGGACCCATTCAACTGTGGTCCTAAAGCCAATTCATATCTGATATTTGACCATGCAACCACTGTAAGAAGAGTCACATAATAATTCATGTGGGGTTTTTCATCACCACATTCCTCTGCACATGCATATCTGAGGATTAAAAGAGGAGAAACAACACGAGGTTCACATTTTAAATAAAAATTATTGAGTAAGGCCTATATGTAGACATAGCTAAAGTTGACAATTGGCCTTTTTCATGGAAGACAGTTTTACGTCACAGCATAAAACGTGTGTAAAAAAATTTAAAACGTACTTTGCACACTGTGCATTAGCACGCCACAAATCATAGTAAGCCTAGCAATTATTTTTTCACAATATTTACGACATACTAATCATCAATCTTTCACTTTGTCTGACAGATTGGTTTATGACAAATAGGCTACCTACAAAAGTAAAGATATTCCCATTAACCCTAGCTGTACACTACTGTGTTTACTGCTAATTAGCAAACACTGGCTTGCTAACACATTAACTATGATTATGAAAAACTTTATGGGCTTTTCAACCTTAACAGTAAACACTGTCATTGTGAGCATGTTAGCATGCTGATGTTAGCATTTAGTATGATGAACCACTGTGCCTGAAGAGCTGCTATCATGGCCATGGACACTTTTTTGTTTGCTTGTTTTTTCATCTGTAAACTGCTCCTCTATTTCCTGTGTACATTTCAAAATTGTATTTACTCTCCATACAGTCTGGGTGAGTCTTACAGTATAAACATACAGACACATTTTTAATCTTATCAGCCACACCTTTTGCTACTGTGACGTCAAAAAATGTCTGCTGTAAAAAAAGGTCTAATCTGTCTGAATTCAGTTGTTTCAGACCCCCCTTCTGGCCACATTTTGCTAATTTTTTCACTGACCTTTTGAAATCCTGATTGACTGACACTTAAATCCAAATCCAGACACTCCTTATTTTAACATATTGTATCCACACATGTAAAAGAGGCCTAACAAAACAGAGGGCTGGCTAACATTTCTTGCCTATACAAGGGAGATCAATCATGGCATGTTCCTGTGCTGGTGAAGGGACATTTTTCAATTTAACCTTTATATTATGTCTTGACTACATCAGAGGAGGGTTTCAACACACTTAACATGAGTGGCATTTAATATAACATAACACTTGCAAGGTGAGCCCGAGATGTGACCCTATTTAAATACAGGGGCCCCTTCCTAAGCCTCAGCAGCAACTCCTCCCCCCTGAACACACACACACACACAAACCCCTGATGCATTTATAATTAACACACCTTATGCCTCCTTTGCAAATGCCCCTCATCGATCTGTGGGTTTTTAACATTCATATGTGAACTGCCCCCCAGCAAACGTCAGCTGCGGCACAAACGTTTATGGATCAGCAAGTTTCCATTAACAAAGTTGTTGATGTTGAATAGCGGGGCTACTGCTGCCATGATGCCGCGGATATATTTGGGTAAATTAACTTAGCATAAAGTGCTCCGAGGCTACGGGGTCTTTTGAGGCAGCTAAAGAGAAAGCAAGGTACCAGTCAGGCCCGAAAAGTCAATGCACATATTATATTGTCAGTGAATATATGAAACTGTAGCTACTGGCACTGTGTCTCAGTGTATGGCCTCTATTAAATGACTGTAGATTCATCCATATTTTTTTTATGTTCCAAGTAATCCTACCATCTTCAGCCAGTTGTTTATAATTACATACCTACACAGTAATATTTCTCATTTACAGAAGTGTGGAAACATATTTTGTTTGAGACTTCATTATACTGCCAGATAAAATGAGTAGCTCAGGGCAACATACAGCAGAACTGCAGGTAGAGGAAAGTGGGAAACCACTGATCTGCAACACTATTATGAAGTAAATTATAAACACAAACAGGTCATTTAATCTTGAGCGCTTGTTTAGTGATTGGATTTCACTCAGGTCGTGGTGACTATGAAGATAAATATTAGTGTAACCTATTGTTTTTGCTCTAATGAGGACATATCTGTTTGATGCAACTTCTTCATGCTTAACTGCTTCCTTGAGTTGTGGTTGGAGGAGATGGATAATCGGGAGAGACACTGCTATCACTATGAGTTACCAGCTAATTAAGATCAGTGAAATAGCCTTAGGACCTTACACACATCTCTGCCCTTTACCATTTTGTGGCACGTGCAGAGCAGCTGCTGGTGCAGCCACTATGCATTTTCAGTCTGGTACTGTACATATGCTGTAATTTTTAAATGCCTTCAAGTGGATGTGTCAGTAATGAAAAAAATCAACACAGCATGTCAATCAATGGCAGTTGGGAGACATGTTTACATTGCAGCTATTAGAAGGATGTCCCTGCTAGGAACGCATTAGGCTACAAGTGGTTGACTGGAGTTGACTAGAAGGGTTTTTGGAGAGAAAATGGAAAATAGGCAATTTAATGAAAGAAAAGTCTTGACATTCAAATAAAAATATAACTCCAAAGTCACCTAGATATCTGTTTAAATGTGTCAAACTTCATTTGATAAACATGTTACCTTTAGGGGGCTGGATCAATGCCTTTCTGATACAGTCCCAACAAAACATTTTAAATTTAACAAAAAGGTACTATTTAGGTTCAGTGCAGGTTCTGCATTGTGATTACTTGTGAAATCTCTCACTGCTCTCCTATCCTGTATGCGGCTCTAATTTTCAAGCACACTGGTTCCTACTGAAGACATAAATCTTTAAAAACACCAGACTAATAATCTTGTCGAGCTGAGTGGATGTTTGCTAGTTGGCAATGCTGATGGTTGCATTATGGCCAAGTTCTGTGTTGCAAAGCAGATCCATTGCAGTGTGTTAGCATAACATGCAATGCAACTACAATGCACCACAGCTCCAGCCAGAATTTTCATCCATACCTGATACACTTGGCTGCTGTTGAGATTGCTGAGGGGATTCCAGCTTTTAGACAGCAGTTCTATGCCACTCTGTGAAAACACAGGATAACTTATAAATACATCTTGATGACTGAAGGATGATTATTTCAGTTATCCAGATCATTTTACACTTACTTTGACATGTGTCCTCAAGCTCAGCCCAACCACCAGGGTGTGCTATCTAACGGCTTGTGGACAGGGACCAGGAACACCAGGGAGGTGTTATCAGTCTGTGGAGCAGAGCCTGATAAAAAGTGGTTGTTTCTGCTCTTCAGTGAATGTCAACCGATTCTTGATCCAACAACTCCAAACCCCCAGGCCTCTGCAACAGATGTTAAGATTTTGGGGTTAATGCGATGCTTGTCAGAATAAGACTAATGACTCTAATTTGTATTTGCAGAGGATTATCAGTCATAGCTAGGCCAGTTGTTTATATCTGGCCCAGATGTGTAACTGTAAGATCACCAGTGACTATCAACACATATACCAGTAGTTGCAGTGCAACACTGACATTACACAATCCCACACCACCCAACAGCACACAGTATAGGAGCTACTAGCAAAACGCAATTTGTTTTCTGACTAGTTCTCTTCTAGCAATTTAACATCCATACAAACACGTACATTTCCTATAAAGCCACAGTTTATTTCAAACTTATTTTACCCCAGTGATCAGACTGATTAATAATAGCCTCCGTTTACCTTTCAAATGGAAATCCACCAGCAGCTCTGTTGTGTAAATAGAAACTGAATACTCACTTAAAAACAGTGTGTTCACTCAAACAGGGATCCTGTGTACTGGTGTGCTCCAGTTTTCTGTCTGACAGACACACCCCTCTCTCTTTTTGCTCCACTGACTGAGGCTGAACTTCAGGGGCCATGTGGTGGGATGAGGTGATTCCAGACAACCAATGAGGAAGCCTCTGGTTTGGGGCCTCACAGGCCTCCAGCGAGGAGGGCAGCTTTCAGCTATTTCCATCTGATGGGCGATTCAAGCAAAGGGTGGCTCACCAATGGCAGGACACCTTAGTGAAGCAAATAACTGCTCTATACGGCAAGGAAGACTGAATTCTTAATATGAAGCAAGAAAATAAAGACAAAAACCAAGACTGCAGATCACACACTGCTAATGTTTTATTATGGTTCATGCATAAGTCAAACAACAAAGAAAAATGAGACATGAGGCAACTCAGGAAAGCAACAGTCACACAGCACTGCCTCCCTTATCAGCATGTCTTTTCATATTATCCACTGGCATACAATATCGTTCCTCTGAGATGACTCTGGCAGTGCTGAGACTCAGACTGACGGAGCTCACAATGAAGTAAACCAGGGCAGCAACAACATGTATTCCATTAACACACTTGGAGTCTTTTTTTTTTTTTTGTGCAATCAACAGAAATAAAAACGTTTCTGCTTTACAGACCATCCGACACACACGCGCACACACACACACACACACACACACACACATTTAACACTAAAACAAGGAAACAGAAGGGGAAGTTTCCCTTTCAAAATATGCAGGTTTGTTTTGTCAGAAGCTTCCAAAGTGAATTATGCTTGTTTTGTCATCTGGGAGTCGGTGTATAAATTCATGAGTGGCTGAGGCTATTCAAAATATATATCCTTCATGAGATAAATGAGAAAACTAGTCTGATTCTCTGTTACAGCTAAAAATCAGTGATGATCTGCACTTATAAACCAAGTCCATATCGATAAGTTCAACCAGCAAGAACGCCCACAAAACCAATAAACAACAAATAAGATACATAAGCCAGCAGCAATGTATAAAACAAACTACATGAACAAAAGCCAAAAATACACATATGACAATTTCTCATTCTGTCCCCAAACATAGTTAATTTCCCATTTTCCTTTTGTACAATAAAATGGTTTAAAATACTGATCTGAAGGGGGAAAAATAGTGCTGAATAAATTATCTCTACACATCAGCTAAATTATTTCCACATTTAATTACATCTGGTTAAGTGTTAGCTGGTTTACAGTACAGGGAGCCGCAGCTGTCAAAGTGCACGCTTGTTTTAAGCTTGTTGTGATTGTAACATGTTGCATTTGTTATTGTCAAAAGAGTAAAATGCCTTATTTGTAGCACTCCATCTGTGGCGAGCTCATTTCTGAAAACAAATGTCATGTTAAAAGGTCAGGCCTTTTAAGGTGTCAGCATAAAGAAAGAAAGGAGAAATGCACAAAAATAATGTGCAAACAGCTTCTGTAGTGCGATATTGAATTCTCATTACATCCCTGGACATTAACCTGTGAATTTCAAGTCAAAAATATGAGCAGACTGTGTATGAACAGTCCAATTATCCCAAATTTCCCTTCCATATTCAGAAGAAATCACAAATTTGGTCATTTAAAACAGTTTGAGCAGAAACATGCAGCATAATCAGAAAGAGGTTTCAAAACCTACAATCATGAGTAAAAACTCATCCGAGCTGTGCGTATCACTTGAGCTACCGGTAACTCTGTTCAAAAATAACATTACCACTCGCCGTCAACGCATTCAGTGACAAAAACATCTTCATCTCCAGCGTAAAGATCACTACATAAATGATAATTAGACAGCATTGTTCAGCAGCTTGAGGCGAAGACAATCTCAGCAAAATTAATGTCAATACATCGACCATGACTAACATCTAATCAAACAACTGCAGATACGTTTCTCAAAGAGAAACCTAAAACACGAGAAGGAAGATTTTTAGAGGAAGGCAATGTTGTTATGGTGCACAATTATCCCAATCACAAGAACAGAATTAGATGAATTGCTGTAAATGATCAGATGTGTACTGTTCTCTTTCCTCGTGAAAAAGCTCACGCCGGTCTGGTGCATCCCTAATGTCTTTTCAAAAATCTACATCTCTTTCATACATAATGCAGCTTAAATATACACACTACTAACAAACCTGATTTGTCATTTACAGATTTACAATTCAACTCTGGCAAAGGGACTGGTATAAACACCCGGACAATATCTCTGCAGATACCCTCAGTGTTCCTCTAGTGTTAGATGTTATTTGTAATAACTATAAAGTTTCTGTTGGGGTTCCTTTAATAGCATCAAGTTTAGTGATGTTAATTCATGCTCTGACAGCTTGAAAGAGAAATGGACTTTCTATCTACGACAAGGATTCGACATCAAATTATCAGGAATATGACATGACTCTGCAGTCCACAGCAGGCGGAGGTAAGTGCTTCACATATAAAGAAGGCAGGCTGCCTCGCTATCTTTGATGCTGGTCAGCACGTGGGTGAAATCCATCATCTGGTGGCGTTTCAAAATACAACTTTTGCTTGGTTTTCTCTGTCTAGTGAACGAGTCCCTTTTTATGAAGAAAGCATGTACAAATCTCTGTAGTGATAACTGAACTGTTGTGTTGAGTCATAACGGAGGTGGATGTGTTTTAGTGTCAGGTCAGTCTGCCCTCATGTGATGCAGCTCAGCTGGTCAGGTTTTAGGGTTGGGGAGGTCAGAGGTCAAAGATGCTAGGCCTACATGGCGAATAAAGTGTCTTCCGGTCTGTCTGGTTTCTTGCGGCTGGGATTTTCCTGCAGTGTACCTGGGTCCCCACTAGGTGGCGATGGTAGGCTGGGGGTCATCTCTGCAGCTTTGGCTCTCTCCTCAAGGAACTTGTCAAACTCTGAGAGCATTGGACGATCAGAAAAAAGAAGCAAGACAATGTGAATTTGAGAGAGGAGGTGGTCAGAATGGAATTTAAAATAAAAATGAAAATTAAAAATGTTCCACCTTCACTTGTCACACCCTCCTCGCCTTCATCTCCTTTCTGTTAAAAAGGAAGACAACAATGTCACACCTGGTAGTTGATGCCACAGAACTCAATACAATGTAAATCACCACAAATCAAGGAAAAATGCCCAGAGCCACCAATTTAAACAAACAAACAAACAAAATCACTTACCACAGCAGTGCATATATTTTTAAATCATGTCATTCTCACCAGCCAGGTTTTATTACTATACCAGGAGCCACTTGGCGGTCATTGTCATGATGCTCATTAAGATGAAATTGCATGAAAACCAAAACAAATCCACCAGTCGTCCCCCCAACTAAGACAGCTCATTAATGTGGTACAATCTCACAAATTTGTGTAAAATGAGCATGAAGTCTTATAATGCTAATCAGGGATGAGGGCTGCAGGTTCAATACCCTATATAAACTGTACATTAAATCTGCTGCACTACTTATTTGTATGTAACAATTTTTATTTGTATGATGCCTTTAAAATAAACTAATACAATTTATTAGACATTCTGGATCAGAACACAGAATTACACTTGAGGTCTCAGTGGAAGAGGCAATGGCCCAGGCTGCCAAAGCTGAGGGCAGATGGATACAGTTATTCACAAGCCAGAATGTCCACTGTGATGTTTGAGCTCCAGACTAAAACCTGAGCAGCTCTTACACACAGACCTCATGCTCATTTCACAACATTCGTTTGTCCCCAAAACACATTAGTAACTTTATTGTGAACTGGGATGTTACATGGTGATAAGAGTGAGGAAGTATAAGAAAAGAGAAATATGTTACTTTGTGGCTTCAAAAACCACTGAAAAGAGATGAATGAAAAAGGAAAGAGATGGAAATAAAACTGCAGGCAGAAATAAAAATCATGATGGGCTCACCACATCGGTACACAGCCACTCCTCTATGTCATCCATGATAGAGGACTGGCCGCCGACACCCTACAGACCACCACAGGTGCCCGAAAAACAAAACAAAAAAAAGAAGCCCAAAACACAACAGAAAATATGAATGTCACTGTTAACTCATATGCAACTTAATTCTGCGTATGGCAGCATGCAGATTAAGCTGGGAACACTGCCAAAGGTTAACACGGCAAGCAAAACCATATATGACAGCATGGCAGTAAATGAACTGCTTCATCCCTTGAACACAACCTGAATCCAAAGTATACACAGAAAAGTAGGTTTTAATAATAGAAAACAAACCCCCAGAAATACTGTAACTTTGTGGCAGTGACCACATTTATGTTTTTAAAATCTAAAGGTGGTGTGTGAAACAGAAAAAGCAACAACTGACGAGACACATTCTATAGAGAGCTGAACTTCTTGCTTGTTTTCCAAAAGAAAGAAAACCCCATTCAAACTCCCACTGAGACTTCTAATCTGGCTAATACCTCAGAATGCAGCTGTTTTCAATGGTATGCTGTGGGTTTCACTACATTTGTTTACACTGTAATGATACACCAATCAGACATAACATTATGACCACTGACTGGCAGGTGAGGTGAATAACATCCATCGATTATCTGTTACAGTGGCACCTGTCAGTGTGGGGGGTATATTGAGCAGCAAGTGAACATTGAGTCCTCAAAGTTGGAAACATGAACAATGGGCAAATATAAGGATCTGAGTGAGTTTGACAAGGTCCAAACTGTGATGGTGAGATGACTGGGTCAGAGCATCTCCCACACTACAGGTCTTGGTGGGTGTTGTTGGTCTGCAGTGGTCAGTACCTACCGACAGTGTCTAAGGAAGGACAGACAGTGAACCGGTGACAGGGTCATGGATGCCCACAGCTCACTGATGATCTTGATCTACAGTAGATTCAACTTTTAACTTTGATTTGTACTTTTAAAAAGATTAAAATGTATTTGAATCTTTGTTAAAATGGTTGAAAATGAGAAATACTGTCCATTGGTCTCTATGAAGAGAAAGAGTCAGGGGCTGTAGTGGAGATATCACACCTTGAGTGGTGAGGCTGATGAATTTGTCTAAACAATTCTCTATAACTCGTCCTCACGACCACAGTTTTCACTCTTTTTACCTAAGTTTTTCACTGAATTGTAGACACATCTGTGCTCTTCCTGACAGTAGAACTGTGGAAGCAAATGGATTCACAGAAGATGCACAGTGACACGAGTGCTGACAAACTGCAACACTGACTCCTATGTAAACTGTATTAGGCAGGTGGTCATAATGTTATGGCTGATATGTATATATTTCTATAAAATGACGTATTATTGACACGTAATATTTCTGCTTTTACCAGGCTTTAATGAACACCATTTCCCTGAAGCGCGAGCCTGTCGCGGCTGAAATGACACCAGCTGATGCCGGTCAAGAGATGGCTGTAACTATTACACATCTTATGTTTTTACAACTTAAAAAGCTGAGACCAATTATTAGAAACACACCAACACAGTTAACGTTGTGCTACTTGGACCACAAAAGTCCAGAAGAGTTTAATAAATAACAGTGACTTATAATATGTGTACCATCGTGCTGAAAGGCGATCATGGGAATGCTAAAAAGGTTATTAATTAACCTTGTTAAAACCACAGAGGTTGCAATTTTCAGTATTAAGTGCTGCAGTGGTTGTTGGCTTGCCTTAAAATATAAAAGATAAAATAAAAAAAATCATGAGGAACACTCCTAGTTTTCTTCCCAGTGGAAAAGCTAAATGAGAGATTGCATGAGGTCATTGAAGCTAGTGGATGAACTGAACGTTCTGCTCATAAAAACACTGACAATCAGAGTCCACACTGACACTCACCGCTCCCGCAGGTGGCTGCAGGACATTAAGAGTGGGAGGAAGGCTGCCAGTGGCGTTCTCTCCTGTAGCCCTGAGACAAGACAGACATGAGGTTGTCATGAACCACTGAAAACAGAGATACTTCAGTTCTCCCTCATTTTTAGTTCAAATCTGAAGGTGAGAAGCTTAAGTCGTCCTTCTTCCCTTCAATGATGTAATTCTTCTGTAAGCAGAATAAACAGTAATGTGACCTTACGTTTTGCGTGGTTCAGACAAAGCCCCGGTCCTGGTTTGAGCGAACACGTCAAAGTCATCTGGGGCAGCTGGGGGCTTACAGCTGGACAGAGAGCTCAGGGTACTGCTCACACTGTCAGCACCCATGTCTGGAGGGAAACACACACTTGATTGTCAAGTAAGAAACAGAATTTTACTACACAAATGACTTTTTGACATGTTTACTAGAGAGGCTTTGCCAGGTGAAGCTGATGCCATTATACAAGTCAAACGCAGAATGAGCTGGAGGCTAATCTGCAGTGGCGTAGGTGCGGTGTTTAATTAAATAGTTTGACTTTTTGGAAAAATACACTTTTGTGTTCAGAGTTGGATGAAACACCTGATGCCAATTTTATATCTGGACATTAAATATAAAGCCAGAGCTGGAAGTTTACTAGCTTGGGTTATCATAGAGATAGGAAACAACTGAGAACACAGCTGGGCCAAACGTATTTCTTCCACCACCTCCATATTTCAGTAATTACCCCACCATCTTATTTGGCTAATCCATTCACAAACAGAACTGCAAAACACGACAACTTGTGGGCTTTTTAGAGGAGCTGGAACTGTTTCTTACTCACTCACTTCCTCACTGTGCTTACAAAACTATGTCATTTTGACCTTCGGACAGACCCAGGCTCTCTCTTTCCCCCTGCCTCCAGACCTTTTGTTAAGCTGATTGCCTCTGAAAATAAGCTTTATAAATGAAAGCCTGACACGAACTATGCAACAAATCTTCTTAAGTTGTCCTTTTTTTGCTGTAGTTTGTGCTAAAACCCTCAGATTAGCATGGGCAGGCTCCATTCAGTTTGCCTTTTTTTAAATAAACTGCTAACTAGCCAGCAGGCTAGTTCACTGTGATTCAGCCAAATCTTGTTCACAAACACAACCAGGTTTATCAGCTATTGCTAATAAAGCCTACACAATCGCCCTCTCTAGACAGTTACAGTATGTTGCATCAGAAGGAAGATGCCGTATTTATCAAAGGAGTGTCTGAAGAAGGAGATGCATACCAAGACCAGCCAGGCGGGAGGCCAAGGTCGCTGGGGATGGGGGCCTTTCCATAGGGGCAGAGATGTTGGCAGGCAGGCTGGCTGGGGCTGTGTTCAGCATGTTGCTGACCACCGCTGGGGAGCCGGGGCCGAGGTCTATGAGGTTGTCCTCTGTAGCCTCACTCAGGACCTAGTGAAGATATAGCTCTTGTGTCATGTAGGTGCAGTAAGAGTGAATTAGGGTTTGTGGCTGTTTCTGGGAACCTAATTGAAGGCAGGGTTATGCAGTATACAGGTCCTTGAGTGTGTCTGAAACTACATATGGTAGAAGAAAAAAAAAAAATCTTGTGGTCTGAATAAAAAAATAAAAAAAATATAAAAAATTAAGGCATGGCGCAAAATATGGAAAAGTACAATTTTGGAAAACCTGTTGGTTAGCTTCAAGAAAGCATGAAAATGTCTGTGACAGAGCAGCACACTAACTTTCTGGAAATCTGTTTCTTATGGGGAATGAAAAAATGTTTTACATTAGAGGCATATTCAGTTTTCATGGTATTTGCTCAGAAGAAATGGACTAGCTTGGCATTTGCTTCTGATCCACTTATGTTCAGTTATGATAGCTGAACCGAAAGGGCTGGTTTTCCACAAAAACAATACATTCCCCTTAAGAAGACAGAAACACAGAAAGGAGGGTGAAGCAAGACTGAACCTTTGGGCTTTGGAAGAGCTGCTCTATCAGGATCTCTTTGGAAATCTTAAACCCTGACTGGTTGAGCCAATGCAAACAACTTGACAGCGATTCCAGGGGCACGATTTCAGTACCATCTTTTCAGCCTGTGTCACTGTCAGTCTACCTCTGGGTTCATCATATCATTGGTTGCTGGGGCTTGGATAGTCGAAACATGCCATATGGGGTGAAAGATACTGGTGAGCCCATAATATGTAGCCATGTTTCAACAGTCGCTGTGGGGTGACACTGGTCATTTAGGGGCAATACTCTCATACTTGCCTGTCTCAGCTAACCACAAAAACAGAAGAACACAAAAGAACAGAAAGAAAGAGTGAATACCATTAGCATGCATGTATAGGGACAAAATGTAATGACATGATAGCTGTGGGTGATTTACCATGCCGAATTAACTTGAAAACCCACAAAGAAGCAAAAATGTTTTCCATAACATTCCGGGTGCCGTTTTTCATCCATTTCAGTTTTGGTGTATAACTGAGTAAATGTGAATCAGTAGCATGCAGAATTACAAGAGCACAAAAGGTAGAAACTACAGGAAACCGACTAAAGGCATGAAGCAAAGAAAAGCTCTACTGTAAGCAGGTGTGGGCCTGTGGCGTTTCTGAAAGCAAGAAGTAATTTGTTTCTCAGTTTAGATTTAGACATTATATTAAATGGTGACGTCATTTGAAACCTTGCTAGACACAAACGGATGTCAATACAACTCTGACAAAGACTGACAAATTGAAACTAATCACAGAATGGTTAAGTGACAGCTGCTGGATAAAGAGTAGTTATAAGATTATAGGAGAGAATCTGAGAAGCCAAACATCAGGTTTCCAACACTGCCTGGGCTAAAGCACCTTTCTGGAGCACATCCCTGGGCCTGCTCCCAAGCACAGACTGGGCTACTGACCGTATTTCTTTCTGGCATAGACAACACAAGTGCACCTCAATTCTAACACTTCCCAAAATGTAAGGACTTTTTTGCATTGCATTGTGACAGTCAATGTTTCCCCCTACTGGACAGAACTGACCTGCTTTGACTGCATTGTATTTAAGCCATGTCACTGCAGAAAGAATATTCAAAATGAATAACAAAAAAAGGAAATAAATGTTTGCTCTTTGTTGGATTTCCATTTAATTAGGTGTGCACCTCTGGTAAATCACTTATAATGGACAGAAAACACTTGGCAAACACTGTAAGGCCTGGCTGGGAGAGTAACATGCAAGTCAACACTAGTGACATAGAAAGGCGCTGAAAATAAACATCATGACAAGGAAAAACCAACTCACAGGTAATCCAGTAATTATACTGATGAGTGTTTTACTGCCTGACTCACCCCATTGTTGGCACTCTGAGCAGAAGCCCTCCCAGACCTAAACCTCTCATACCTCAAGGCAAAGACAAAACAACATGAAAGAAGTGAACAAGAACTCTTTAGTTTAACCAACTAAATCTGTGCAAACATGCTCTCAGGCTAAAGATGAGTTTAGATGTGGGTACGTTATGTGTGTACAAAAGATGAGCTTGTACGTGTGTTTGTCAGCGTTTTCTAACCTTTCGTAGCGTAGGAAAATGTTATTGAGATCATCATTGACATGCAGCAGCTCCTCAGTCACTGCCTCATTGGAAACACAGGAGATGAGTTCTACCATTCTTTGTTGCATGGCTCTACAAGTCCTGTTCAGCTCCTACACAGACACACAGCACATATACATACATACATACATACACACACACACACACACACACACACACACACACACACATACAATGGTCTTAGTTTACCGTTTTTTCAGTGGTTTGTCAAGGCTTGTTTGAACAAGAAAATATTAGTCTTTTATATTTGTTTATTTGTGTACACTTCAGAATCAGACACACGAGTAGCTCCTTGCCTGTAATAACTCATAGTCTGAAGCATCCTCCTGCCCTGGGACCATCTCAGTCAACATCTCTGACATCACCTTAGCGTTTCCACGAACAACATCCAACTCACTGCGCAGGCGGCAAATCTGGAAAAGGTAAATAAATCCAGTCCGAATACAAGTATGACTACAGAAACTTTAACAGTGACAGTTTATCTGTATGAAAACAATAGTGCATCAATATCCTCTTTGAAAGAATGAATCATTTTAAGTAACAGCCAGTTTACAATCGATATTTGGAACATGATGAGTGGTAATGATGAATGGGCACTCAACAGGTCTAGGGGAGTAGTTGATGATTACAGCAGTGTATTCAAGCTCTGGAGCGTTTCATCCCTTTGTCTGGTTTGTTTGGACAGGTGCAGACAATGCCATTTCAACCAGCATGTCACAAAAGAAGAAACCTGAAAATGGAGGAGTCTATCCTTTTGTGGAGGAACTGCAGGTTGCTGTGGGGCGAGTACATGTATTTGTGGGGAGTAACACTGTACCTGTTCAGGTGTAGGATTGATGGATCCAGAGGGATGAATGCTGGGGACCTGAGGGCCAGTGTAGGTCGGTGGGGCAACATGTGGAGTGGGCTGAGTAGTGGTGCTGTACTTGTGGAGGGTGGAGTCGCCCTCCGGAGCAGATGCAGCCTAGAAGCAACAGAAAAAGAGACCATATACATAACTGAACGTGACAAAATGCTCTGGAAGAGAACCACGCTATGCCTGGTCTTTGCACAGAAACATCTGTACACATTTAAGCTGCTTAGTATGATGCCGCCTACTCGCTGAGGTGTGTGTATAGGCGACAGGGTCTCCAGGTCTGACACAGGGAATTCAATGCCTTTCCTTTTTAGCTCCTCATAGATTTGAACTACGCCTGTAAGGTCTGGACTGCTCCTGAATGCATCAGCCCATGCCTGAAGGAAAAGAGATGCAGAGATTAAAACACACACTGGATGAGGAGAGCACTGACACAGCAATTTCAGTTTCAGCTGTTTCTGTTTGTCTACCTTGAATACACTCAGTCAACAAACCACAAAGCTCTAGGCTTTTCACTCAGCAGTGGGCAGGCTAAAGCTAGACTGGGCCTTTCAACAGCTCTGACACACGACAAGGACTGTGATCCAAATGTGCTCTCACTTCAAACTGCAAGGCAGTGTGGTCTGAAATTTCCACAACAGCCCCCTTTCATTGGTTGCATGTGTCTGAAAGCCTACGCAAAACCAATACCTAAGTGAGACTGATAAGGGGTAGGCTAAACTATAGCCTGCACACATGCTCACTTTTATCAACTCCAAACACACACGGTTTTACACCTGAGAGATGCAACAGGTGGTTAGAAAGCTGCACAACACAAGCAGGCTGTTGCCCAACTGGGTATTGAGCATCTTGCTAAAAGAAACGTCAACAACACTCTAGCTGTTGTGTAAAGTGAGTGCTGCTCAAATTATCCCCCTGAGTTTTCCCAGCTGTAACAAACTTGTTTGTCTACTGACAGGACAAACTATTACGGTACATTCTCCACATCTCCCTCCCTCACTTAGCTGTACTATATCCCCCCTCCTGAATCCATGGCACATGGGTTGCCTGGTGGAAATAAGAGCAGTCCACAAGAGGCTGACAAGGTTACCTGAACTGCGCCAGGTAACTAGAGCTGCTCCTGCCTGAAGCCCTGGAGACACTGTACTTTACCTGAGGCTCTGCCTGGGGATGACAGGCCACCTCCTGGCCTGCTGCACAGCCATATATACACCGTAATAAACACCTACACCGCAACCCGCACCTCTCACTAGCTAACTCCACCAAAAAGATCTTTTTTTTTTTTTTTTTACACTAAACATGTAAAAAAGAAAATGAATAAACTCAATGCTTGACACGAAAATAGCCGATTATGCTTTGACATGCCCAACCACAAGATAACACACAACATAAGGCAACAAAACTACACTAGTAACACAATTTTATTCTTATCATACCTGAATCAGGGTGAGTACTTTTTCTTGAACGATGGTGGGTGGATTATTTTTGGGGGAGACGATTTTAACAAGTACGCCATCAACAAAGTCCCTGCTAGTGACCAAAGCATGAAAACGATGGCCGCAGTTCTTCACACACGTCTCCAGGACCTGGTGGATGCAGAGAAGTTAACTGTTAATGAATCAGAACACACTTGTAAATCAAATCCTGTTACAGACATGATATACTGCATTTGGAAATTCTTGAAATTAAAATGATGTGATACAATCAAATATCCCTACGTGATTCCCTCTACATGATATTCCATTATGTGGGAGGAAATTATTACTATTTATTAGGGATGCACCGATACCACTTTATTTATTTTTTTTGATTGAATACAAGTACAAGCACTTACATTTGAGTACTAACTGATACCGATTATTACTACAAGTATAAGAAAAATAATTTGAAATAAAAGTGGTTCTGGTATCCCTCACCACCACTGGTGCTCTTTAAAGAGGGAAAAAAAAATGTATCAAGTGGATATTTAATAATAAAATGCTTTTAGTATATGTATTTTTTTATATGTTAGCCCACATTCATTACTGACATTTTATAATCCACTCATGGACAAGAGCAGATTTTTTTTTTCCCATGTTTGATACCGACACGTGCTTAATAATAATGCAATGCTTCTGCTATAAAAATTACAATTACCATAAAAGTGCAATGACTTGAGTTTTATTTTCATTAGATTTACTTCCTAATTGCAATTAAATAAAATAACAGGAGGCTGTGCTAATTACCTTAAAACTTTTTGTGATAAACAGCACTGCTACCGCTCTTAATGTAACTGACTGCATTTCAGTAGCCTACTATACAACAGACCGTAATATAAGACTATTTTTATAAACATTTTTAGGAGCTTGACGGTCTGTTAAGATGAAATGATTTCATGAACCCTGCACAGAATGTCAAAGTATAGGAGGACATATAATCACATTCTGTAACTTATATTTTTAATTTATTGAGTGTACAGCTTTTACTTTAAACTGGTGATTGTCTCTGGCTTCATCCTGTCCTCTCTGCTGGACACACCTGCTCTGCTGGTCTCAGCCTCCAAATCCACAAGGATTCAACCCATTTTCATACGCAGAACTCATTGGACTTTGTTGTGAACTACATAAAATGAGTGTTTGTTTTCTTGTCCTTCACACAATGGACTACAGTCAGAATAACAAGCACCGCACGGGTTTAGTGGATGGATGGGTGCCGGCATTTTGACTGTGGGGAGAATCAAGACATTGCATTTCTGCAAGGTTGTTTTTTTCCTGTTCTGATGCTCAACGGGTGTTTGATGTCCCTGTCCCTTACTGTTGGGTTTTGGGGCACACATCAAGTGTTGATGTCTCTGTAAAATGCAACCTCATGTCTGTGTGAGGCAGGGAAGGAGGGGCACTCACAGACACACACACACACCAGAGCAGAGAATCACAGCTTGCAGCTGGCTTTATTTTTGCCATCGTCACTTAGCTTAAAATATCCTCCAATGACTGAAATTTCTTCTCCACCACTTAATGACCTGTTCAACCAACATGAGGTTAATGTAATGTTAGTCACTTAGCTTAAAATACCCTCCAATGACTGAAATTTCTTCTCCAACACTTAATGACCTGCTCAACCAACATGAGGTTAATGTAATGTTGCGGTGAAGTGCTATCGGTGTGTCATATCAGACAACTTTTACTAGTACAAGTATTAGGTGATATTGGGCCTGATACTGGTATTAGTATTGGTGCATCCCTAGAACTTATTATTATTGTTTCATCTGTGACCAACTCATGCAATTGTGACATTACAGCAGAATTAGGCTAACTCACCGTTAAAGTCAACATCACTTCCCTATAGTTCTTGTTGCCATTCAGCCTCTTCTTGACTGCTCTAATGGCATCCTTCGGCCTGCACACACATACAAACACGCAAGCAAAAGCACACATTAAACAAACAAGGACTGTACATAGGAGCACAGTACATGATGTCTAGATCCTTTAAATGCACTGGAACGTCATTCCAAGCAGAACAAATGCAATTAGCCAGAACATAATGGCCAAGAACTATAAAGAGCATTTATAATGGTGCTGATATGATGTCAGACTCAACTGCAAAAACTACAAAGCTAAAATCCTGACACAGGCACAAGTCAATGATTCCTTGGCTTTCAGCCTAGTTATTGACACAGAGACTGTTCTACAATAAAGCAGAAACAATTAACTTCTGAATTCTTTCACTACTTCTAACAGATCATATCAGCATCACAGCAGCGCGCATACAATGTCCCCTGCATTCCCCGGAGACAAGAGAGAAGCAGAGTCATACCTCTTTTTATAGACTATTGATATACAGGTTGCTGCACAGGGCCAGACCCACCTAGAGACGAGTTTACAACCTACTAATCAAACAAGAGCTGGACTTCACACACCAGATTAAACAAGTGCAAGGTTAATGGAGCAATGAGATAAGCAGTGAGGTCTCGCACAAAGCCACCTTATCCAGCCTTAACTAAGCTTCTTCTCTAAGCACAACACAGATGAAGGAAAAAAGGACTGATTAGCTGTACAGAATATCTTGCTGCATAAACGCACTATATAAGCAGCACGGGCAAAAGACAATTCAACTAGTGCATATGAGAGAATTAGTATGGATAGTCATTGATTTTCCCTGTGTACTAACCCATCCTCTGTTTCATTAATGATGTCACATATTTCCATGTTGAGGGCCCAGTCTTCACTTTGCAGGGAGCCATCAGTGGCTCTCTCTAGGAGGCACATAGAGATTAAAGAAGTTAAGACATCTCAATAAAACACGGCAGACCAATTACTTGACGATGACTGGCGGCTAGCTGTGTTACCTACTTAGCTATCAGTCGTCATTTAAGATACAATTGCATTCGTTCATGTGTTTAGCGTTAACCAGGTACCTGACAGTGACAGATAACAAACCTTTAATTTGTTTACGGTAATGGTAGCACAATGACAGCAAATGTTACCTAGTTACCTAGTGACAACTAGTTAGCCAGGCGGCTAACGTTGCCTTTCCAGCTGTAGAGAACTCGTTCAGGGACGTTAGCATGCTAAGATAGCAAGCCCCTAAATGACTACTGCACAAAATGGATACATTTCCCTGACATATATGGCAACCTGTACACAATGTCGTTTCCTTAATACCTAGTTACATACCAATGCAGTGTCCCACCGGAGTACTGTAAGGATTTCCCAAAAGAAACTCCATCTTGCTCGCCAATAAACAAGTCAGTCCATGGGTTGATGAAAATGATGATGATACATGAGGAAACGTCCAGCAAGTCCCGCCTACAAAGCTATGTAATTGGCCATGAAATCCGGACCTTTAACGTGATTGGACAGTTAGAACATTTATCATCAGAGTTGGGCGATTGTAAATAAAACGCACCAAAGGTTGCATCAATAAAACTCAAATAGCTTTTTATGGCAGTAACTCATATTCTCACATTAAATAATAGTTCTTGGAAGGTGGTAATTAAAAAAAGACATATGTAGGATGTTTTAGTTTATATTCAAACTTTGCTTACAACTGGTGGAAAGTAAATATGCCATTTTAACTGTATCTAAAAATGTATAATGAAAATGACCAGTGGATGAGGATGCAGTCCATGTGGAGATGATACTGATGAATAGGCTGTCGAAACAACAGCAAATCTCTCTCCTCACTAAAATGCATACAACATGAAAAATGGTAAAAAATTACAGAGATAATTTTATTTAAACATTTCACTACTGCAAGAGACAATTTTTCACATGTGGTATGCCTTCAAACACTACAATCAGTGTGAGCACTCTGCTGTTAAAATAGCATACACAATTCCTAGCATTCAAACATTACCAGACAAAGAATTCCTGGAATTTACATTCCAACACCAAACTAGTCACCATTCTGGTGATACCATTCACAATGTCCAAAATGTCACAGGTGTCTGAGAACTGACTGGAAACTGACTGGGCAGGGTGTCACACTTGGCAGCTGACACACAAACACTGCAAACCAACAGTCACTGTTGGAGTGAGACGACTCTATAACAGATCATAGACAGAGCAGCTGTCACTGCCAAATAGAGCAAACAGGATATGTTGTGTGTGACTGCATGAATGTAATGTAGAAGCACTGATAAAGTAAGATGGTTAGGGGTTTGAGGGCAGATTAACTTTGTGCTCTCTGTATATATTCTAGCTGATTTGAGTTCCTTATTCTTCTCAGTCCTGCAGAAGTTTGTGTTTGACAGTGGAATTCTCAGATGAGAGGTGAACAAAAAGAGTTCCAGCAGCGGTCCGTGCCCTCAGATCATACATGTCATAGACATGGGCCCACTCTACATTTCCCCAGTGCCGGATCTGTGCAGAAGAAGAAGAAGAAAAAAAAAAGTGACTGTCAGCAGAAAGAGCAGCAGGTGTTACATGCAGCAGCAGAATATATGACAATTAGCAAAGACATGAGTAGCAAACAAGCAAACCCAGAGCTCAGAAGAACAAAGTCCACCTTTTCACTGCATTGTAGTATGCTACCAGGTTAGGTATTATGGGGAACACTATGAAAACAGAAGTGAGTGCTGTTTCTTTAAGGCAGGTGTAGCAAACATGTCAGACAGGGATGCATTATGGACATGTAACACAAAACAATACTGACTAAAAATTCTGGGTGGAAACCTCTCTGGTCATCTCTTACCTGGAATTCCTCCTCCAGTCTGGAAAGCAGTACAGCCTGTTCCACACTCAGATGTCTGTCAATCATCCCCAACGACAGCACAACAGACTTCAGCTGGGTGATCACAAACTCAAGCCCTGCACATGAGAAACCACAGTACTGTATACACAGCTCTCCACCCTACTACTGTTACAGATTATGACACTAAACATAATTAAATAAATTTTATTTTAATCAAATATGACAACTATTACATTTACCACTCTCCTGTCCATTTTAGTTGTGCAGTTTACAGTTACAATATAACCCAAGTAAAAAGCACTTAACTGTTAAAAGTGCTCATCTTGGATCAGTTTAGTAATGTTTCACCTGTCAGAGACCAGAAGTTGTAAGAATTCAGGTGCTGCCTGAATGTGTCTTTGGTTGCCTCTGGGATCTCGGGGCCCAAAATACTGGACGAGGAGCCAATAGTAACGTTATATCTGCAACATAATAAGACAAATAGGAAGAAGCTTAGCACAGTAGCTTAATACACTGTATTAATGTGTCTATGACAAAAATCTGTCACCTGTTTTCAATCCAGTGCAGCACAGGGTCCCACTCATTCTTCTGTAGCTCAACCAAAGCATGGGGCTCGTCGACCCTGTAACTGCACAGAATATAAACGCCATTAACAATTAAAGGTAATACTCAACGTTTAAAAAGGTTTTGATTTGTTACCATATATGAATTTCACAAGCACACATATTTAATTGAAAAGATATCACTACATTGCTTATTTTGAATTTAATACTGATGTTGTCATTGTGTCTCTTTTGGTGGGATTTAATGCATTAATGAGTAAATATTGAGAAGCATTGTTGGAATCAAGTTCTGGCTATAAAGAACATTGTTTAAATTAGTATTAAGTGATAGTAATAAAAGTAAATAAGTAGTATACCAGACAGTGTCAGTCTCCAGGAACTTCAGAGCAGCATTGATCATCTGGTCTTTGTTACGTTGGGTGGGATTGTCCAGAGCTGTGTTGCACAGTGTGGTCTGCAGGAAGAGTGGGTCAACATTATGTTTAGTCACTTTTATCACTGACATGATGCAACTAAAAACATGGTCATGGTAAACATATTAAATAGTAAACATTACTAGCAACATTTTTATATTAGAAGCAGGTCACAGTTACTTCTGGAGTAAACCTCTGTGCATCAATGAGGGTCTGAGTTGCAACAGCTTATATTTCTTTCTGTCTCACCCCCATACAAGTTAGGTCTTCCCAATGCTCTGTTATTCGTGACATCAGAAATTCCTACCACCTTCTCACAAGTATAAGTGTCGGGCTGTCATATCAATGCACATATGGTACACTACAATGTAAATTCATTTTAATAGCACACGGAGAGTTGAGTATATTATGGATTTAATTGAAAACAATAAACACATGTAAAATTCTTTCACAATTCATTTACATATAAAGCAACCGTAAACTGGGTCTAATACACAGGATAAAAAAAGCTGGTTTAAAACTCATCCAGCTGCCAAAGGCCATACCAGATGCATAGTGTAAAACTTGAGTGTGTCCCTTTGAGCATCCCACTCGGTTGCCACGGCAATAGCGAGGGCTTCATTTGGCACTGTGAAAAGTTTCCCTCCAGGAGTTTTCAGTTTCCTTCTGTCTAGGTTTATTTCAAATACACCACCTGGAAATATTCAATAAGCAGAAGAATGACAAGTATGGCGAGGGAATGCCTATCAAGACTTCATGCCTTTATCAAAGACATAACATGCTGTCTTATTACCAACAAAGAAAGCTAATTTCATATGTGGAGGATCTTTTTACTTTCCGTGCAGACTATGGAAATAAATCGGACACAATCCTCAAATACACGCTATTTACACTAAACCTCATGATATTTGACTTACCTTCACCTTGAGATATGCTGACGTGTTGATAAAATCGCTTTCTTTCTGGTAACAACAAAAAACAATACATAAATCATCACTCGCATAGGTAAGTTATACAAATGCATTGCTGCTTAAGAAAAAATGGCGTTTTAGCCACATAACGCTAGTACACTATTTATCTTACCTACTGCGGCTGTGGAGTATTTCAACGCAAATCTGGACTGTGGATTTATTAGGCACAATTTACTGAAAGAAAGACCATTTCCAAATTGAGTCTGGAGTCTCACAAGGCCCCTAAACATAGTGCAGGTTAGATGAAGTTGAGATGATTTCAAGAAAAACTAGCTAAGAAGAGACTGGACAGGCTAGGCTGTCTGTTTTTGACTGCCGTTCGTCAGTTATTTGGATGCAACATTTTATACGTGACTGTTTTTCGTATTAGGACAAATCTTTGTTTACTCTACGCTAACTGCATAAAGTCGCTATGTATTTATTTACGACCACACGTTTCCTCCTCAGGTAGCTGGCCCCGCGTTTAAAAAGACGCGAGACCCTCTGTCCTTGGCAGATGACGTAATGACTGGTATGTCTGTGGGGAATGTAGTTTTTAACTGCTTCTACGCACTAATGCACAACAGGAAAAGAAACTACACCCAAATATTGTCATCAAGACTTCCGCAAGTCGAACCAATGAGCGTGGAAATTCTAGGCACAGTGAACTCAGCTGGCAAATGAGAGGGGCGGATGCTGCTGCCTACGTCGAAGTCTACTTACTTTTCTGGGAGCTTGGTTTTTCGTAAACTGAACTGTTATAGAGGAGACAGGGTGTACTTTGATGTTGGTGGATTTCTTCTGTCCTCTTTCACTTCTTCGTATACGCCACCAGAATCCATTGCCCTAACGGCAGTTGAACGCGGGAGCCATGCCTGTCCCGGCTGGATACTTCAGCGACTCCTCCGCCGTGGCCTTCGCATCCTCGGCCTCGCTTATTCCGCCGCCACCGATAAACACTCAGCAGCCCGGTGTTGTCACGTCCCTGCTGTATAGCGGCTCCAAGTTCAGGGGCCACCAGAAAAGCAAGGGGAACTCTTACGACGTGGAGGTTGTTTTGCAGGTGCGGCTGTGATGCGGATATTTCGTGACTGAGGCGAGCTGTCAGTGGTATTTGGTGATCTGTGAAACAGGCGGTGTCATGATTGACAGCTGGGAAATCAATGAACCCTGGCCTGTCGCTGGGTGCCTCGCCTAGCTAGCTGGGAATTTATCATCGTCTGCGACTAATTACTAACAACCATTTCCATATTATGAGGATACGTAAATGTTATTAGCAAAACGTTACTATCAATTGGAGTATATTAATTGCTGCATTTGTAGAAGACCTTTGCAAATCTGCACGTTTATGGCTGTTTTTCTGTGAGAAGATGTTTCACAGCATCACTGTTGAAGATTCAGATTGTTTAATAGTAAGACGACCATTTTGCACATCAAGCTACACTCAGTAACCCACGAAGTGAAGTCATTAGGTTTTTTCTTTTTCAAAATTTATTAGAAATTAAAAACTGAAGTCTCTCATTTGCAAAACAGTTCATATCCTTAATTTAGTTCTTTGTAGAAGCCCCTTTAGCAGCAATTACAGGTTTGAGTCTTCATCAAGCCTCTACAAGCTTCACACACCTGGATTTGGGCAGTTTATCCCGTTCTTCTTGGCAAATCCTCTCAAGATCTGTCAGATTGGATGCAAAGTGTCTGTGAACTGCCATCTTCAGGTCTCTCCACAGATGTTTTTTTGGGGATTTTATTCTGGGCTTTGGCTGGGCTGCTCGAGGACAGAGACTTGTACTTGAAGCCACCCCAGTATTACTTGGCTGTGTGCTTTGAGTCACTGTCGCCCCATTTTGAGGTCTCTGCACTCCAGCTGCTGCTTTTCGTCAAGCTTCTCCCTGTATTTGTATCCTTCCCTGAGTTCTGACCAGTCTCCCTGTCCCTGCTGCAGAGAAGCACTGAGTTCTAACCAAAGTGTCTTCTATCTATCCACTCCACCATATAGACCTGATCGATGGAGAGCTGCTGACATGGTCGACCTTCCAGCAGGTTCCCCATCTCTGCAGAGGGCTTCTGAAAGTCTGTTAGAGTGACTGCTGGGTTCTTGGTCACCTCACTGACCAAGGCCCCTCCCGGCCGGTTACTCAGTCACTAATTATTCTAGGAAGAGTCCTGATGGGTCCAGGCTTCTTCCACTTCACAATGACTGAGGTCACTGTGCTCCTGGGAACACTTAGAGCTTTAGAAATAGTTTAATGCTCCTGATTTATTGCCACAAATCCATCATAGAGGTCGACAGAGTTGCTTGGATTGCATGGTTTGATTTTTGTTTTGACATTCATTGTGAACTGTGGGACTATCTCTATCTCTCTATCTATCTCTATCTATCTATATATATGAGAGAGAGAGAAAGAAAGAAAGAAAGAAAGAACGAACAGGTGTGTGCCTTCTCAACTATGTCCAGAAAATTCAACTTGCCACAAGCGGACTCCAGTCAAGTTCTAGACACATATCAAGGAAAAATGAATCAAATAGGAAGCACCTGCAGAGTCACAGCAAAAACTCTGAATACTTTTATAAATGAGAGATTTCAGTTTTTGAATTTTTAAAAATAAATTTGCATACATTTCTAAGCACGTTTTCACTCTGTCATTATGGATTAATGAGTGTAGTCAAATATAGAACACAACACAATACAATATGAGTGAAAGGGGTTGAATACTCTCTGAAGCCACTGTAGATATGAAGTACAATGCAAAATTCTTTGTTTATTGTGTTTTCTTTTTAAGCATGTCACAATGGAGGATTCCTACTTGTGTGGTTACCTGAAGATAAAAGGACTGACCGAGGTGAGAGAGTAACCTCTCTTATTAACCCACAGTCATAAATAATTGAAGCTGGCCAGTGCTTGCTGTGTCCTCTTCAAGAGACTGGTAAAGTCTAGGATACCATTTTAAATTCTTCAACAGATTCCTATTACACACATTAATACCACCCCAACGAACTGATAAACGTACAATAAATGTGGTAAATGTTGCTTGTATTTGACAGCATATCTTAATAGCATAGGTACACATTCAGATGGGCTGAGTAAGATGTCACTGCCACACTGACAAAATCTGACCATAATATCTTGATGGCAACTGGTTTGTTAGTGTAGATTTTTAAGGTAAAACTGTCAGTTTGCTAGTTTAAGCCCATCACTTTGGATTCCAAACTGACATTCAACTCAAACTTTTATATAATTAGTATTTCCAAGTGTAACTACTTTATATCTTTGTACTCTCACTGTATAAAGTACAACTATATGACATAACATGACAGTTTTACAAAAATCCCACAATATGTTTATAGTGATGGACAGTAAACCAATTATACCAGTATATCTAACATCTGCATTATTTTGAAATACAAACTGTCCTGGTTTATATGAATTGCACTGACAGTCTCACCACTTGGGTGTGACATTTTTTGACTTGCAAAGAGACAGACAAAACAGCATTTGTTCAGCGCTAACAAAACAAAACCTCACTGTTTCTCTGCCATGTTCACTGTCATAGGAATACCCGACTCTGACCACGTTCTTCGCTGGAGAGATCATCAGCATGAAGCGGCCATTTCTCACCCGGAAATGGGATGCAGACGAGGACGTGGATCGTAAGCATTGGGTGAGGTGAAAACCTGATTTGTAATCATGGCTCGACAGCCATTTGGTTTACTGTGACATAATTGATTTTTGTTCTGTGTCAAGGGCAAGTTCCAGGCCTTCTACCAGTATGCAAAGACATTCAACTCGGATGATTTTGACTATGAGGACCTAAAGAACTCAGACTTTATTTTTATGAGGTGGAAGGTAAGCTGCTGCTTTAGTTGAGCTTGACCACATATTGTAGTAAGTCACATCTGCAGCTGCTGCTGTTGTTGGTCCTCTCAGGAGCAGTTTCTGGTCCCAGACCACACAATCAAAGACATCAGCGGAGCTTCCTTTGCTGGCTTCTACTACATCTGCTTCCAGAAATCCACAGCGACGATTGAGGGCTACTACTACCACAGGAGCTCTGAATGGTAACACTTGAGTAATTTCAGAAATATTAGGAAACAGAGTTGTGAGCGAAAGGTTTCCAGACCAGCTGAAAAAATCTGGATGAGGGAAGTTATCGGTAGGCACAGTTTTCTACTGCTTCAGTCAAGGTGGCCTTTCTAAGTTGCTTCATGGGAGCTGTTCAAATGATTAGTAGATTATCTGAACCAGAAAATGTTTAGTGCGGTGTCCAGATGGGGCCGGTGGAAATCTTGGGATGGCACATTAAAAATAGTATACAGCACAGAGGAATTTAAGCCAACACAAGTTAACGGAAAGGTGATGATACTACAGTGGTGTGAAAAAGTGTTTGCCCCCTTACTGATTTCTTATCTTTTTGCATGTTTGTCACACTGTAATGTTTCAGATCGTCAAACAAATTTATATATTAGTCAAAGATAACACAAGTAAACACATCATGCAGTTTTTAAATGAAGGTTTTTATTATTAAGGGAAAACAAAATCCAAAACTATATAGCCCTGTGTGAACAAGTGTTTGCCCCCCTGTCAAAACACTGGTTTATCGCACCTGAGTTCAATTTCTCTAGCCACACCCAGGCCTGATTACTGCCACACCTGTTCGCAATCAAGAAATCACTTAAATAGGACCTGCCTGACAAAGTGAAGTAGACCAAAAGATCCTCAAAAGCTAGACATCATGCCAAGATCCAAAGAAATTCAAAAACAAATGAGAAAGAGAATAATGGAGCTCTATCAGTCCGGAAAAGGTTATAAAGCCATCCCTAAAGCTTTGGGACTGCAGCGAACCACAGTGAGAGCCATTATCCACAAATGGCGAAAACATGGAACAGTGGAGAACCTTCCCAGGAGTGGCCGGCCGACCAAAATTACCCCAAGAGCACAGCGACAACTCATCCAAGAGGTCACAAAAGACCCCACAACAACATCCAAAGAACTGCAGGCCTCACTTGCCTCAGTTAAGGTGAGTGTTCATGACTCCACCATAAGAAAGAGACTGGGCAAAAATGGTTTGCATGGCAGAGTTCCAAGACGAAAACCACTGCTGAGCAAAAAGAACATAAAGGCTCGTCTCAGTTTTGCCAGAAAACATCTTGATGATCCCCAAGACTTTTGGGATAATACTCTGTGGACAGACGAGACAAAAGTTGAACTTTTTGGAAGGTGTGTGTCCCATTATGTGTGGCGTAAAAGTAACACCGCATTTCAGAAAAAGAACATCATACCAACAGTAAAATATGGTGGTGGTAGTGTGATGGTCTGGGGCTGTTTTGCTGCTTCAGGCCCTGGAAGACTTGCTGTGATAAATGGAACCATGAATTCTGCTGTGTACCAAAATATCCTGAAGGAGAATGTCCGGCCATCCGTTTGTGACCTCAAGCTGAAGCGAACTTGGGTTCTGCAGCAGGACAATGATCCAAAGCACACCAGCAAGTCCACTTCTGAATGGCTGAAGAAAAACAAAATGAAGACTTTGGAGTGGCCTAGTCAAAGTCCTGACCTGAATCCAATTGAGATGCTGTGGCATGACCTTAAAAAGGCAGTTCATGCCCGAAAACCCTCCAATGTGGCTGACTTACAACAATTCTGCAAAGATGAGTGGGCCAAAATTCCTCCACAGCGCTGTAAAAGACTCATGGCAAGTTATCGAAAACGCTTGATTGCAGTTGTTGCTGCTAAGGGTGGCCCAACCAGTTATTAGGTTTAGGGGGCAAACACTTATTCACACAGGGCTTTGTAGTTTTGGATTTTGTTTTCCCTTAATAATAAAAACCTTCATTTAAAAACTGCATGATGTGTTTACTTGTGTTATCTTTGACTAATATATAAATTTGTTTGACGATCTGAAACATTACAGTGTGACAAACATGCAAAAAGATAAGAAATCAGTAAGGGGGCAAACACTTTTTCACACCACTGTATATTATAATGTCACATAACCTGTATACTGTTTAAATCCTTGGCTGATCATGTCAATGTCAGGTTATAATATTCATATGAGATCAACCAACGAATCAGTTCCACCTTGAGTGCATCATCAGCACTAAGTCGATTGTGTGGATTGCTTAAACACAAACATTATTAACTGATAACAAAGGTTTCATTTATGAGCTGAAATTGTATTTCAAATGTCAAGATTTTGGGTGGCCATAAATTCAACAAGTGGCTGTGATTCTAGGTGTTATCTGTATTCTATAGAATTCACTAATGAATTATGGATCCAAGCAGGTCTGACCTAAAGTTCTGATGCAATTACAAAACAACACAACACATCACATTTCATGCTCAATGTCTTTAATTACTTTTATTTCAGTGATTTGTATAAAACAACCAACATTCCACTCCAGTGGATTCATTTGTGCTGCAAAGAATTAGAACAGCTGGGGGTTGTCGGTTGTGGGGAGGGCAGTAATATTTTATGATGTAGCCATGGCCCCACTGGCCACCGCTTGGGGGCGCCACAGGCTTAATTGCTGTTGCTTACATCATACAGTGACGTACTCAACATCATTGTGAGGGTTGTAAACGGTATGTGAATGGTTTTTTTTACTCACTAATAGCTTATTTATGGGATGGACTCTTTTCTCTTTGCTGCTCTTTACCACTTCTAGTGTGAATCATGCAAATAACATGTAAAGGAAAAAGATGAGCACGAGCACCAGTCCAGACTGTGGTTTGCCCTCTTTCCAAGCATAATTAATTGTCGGCTTTCAGATATCAGCATTCATCTGCCTGTAAAACCTTTTTATTCTGGGTTTATTTTTGTCAAACTGGACTGCAGCTGTGCCGGAAGAGTCAGTTCATTCACTCTTGAAAACAACAAATGGATGCCTGTGACTGTTTTAACATGGTCTAATGAGGTACTTTGAAGAACTGAATACTTAAGAGCTTAACCATGTACCTCCAATTTTGGTGTTTTTTTTTTTTTTATGTTCCTCAGATAAACGAAAAGCTTAAATATTTCTTTAGGGGTTGACAAAATATCCTACTTCATTTAGTTATAATTCTTAAAATTCCAGTCACCACTTCCAATGTGGATATTTCCTAAGCCCATAAAAGGAGGTAATAAATAAATGTAAACACAGTAAATTACTATTTCTGATGACTTCAGGACAGTTGTTGTCCTGTCCACCCTCACTTTGTCTTCCTGTCTAACATAAACCATGTACTTCTGATGTATATGTATTCAAACACACTTTGTGTTGCTTCACCACAGGTACCAGTCTCTAAACCTCACCCACGTTCCCGAGCACAGCGCAGCCATCTACGAGTTCCGGTGACCCTGGCCAGCATTGTGGATCTTTTTTAGTTTTGTTTTAGTTTGATGGACAAAGAGCTGAGGCAAAGCTGTGGTCTTCAGATGCTACTGGGGAGGAAAAGGTTAACCAGTAGAGGGCAGAATGTGGGCTTTGGTGAAGTTGCAAACTCTCACATGTTCCCAATAAGTGAACAGACAGCTGCTTTACCAGTGGATGAGACACAGGACAAATGAATGTATGGATGGATGAGGTAAGAGGAAGGAGAAGAAGAAAGGGCAGTTCTGCTCCCTGGCTGGAGCTTATAAAGTTAGAACCAGCAGCAAAGACTGGGTGTGGTTCATATTGTGTACCCCTTTCTTCATTTGTTTTAATGTGTGCTTTAAAAAAAAAAAATGCTTCGCACAGTATCTCAAGACACTTTGTAAGCTGAGTTGGAAATTCCCTCTTGTTTTGCAACTCGAAACGTTTCCAGCTTTCATCCAGCCGAGGCAGAATGACTGCGATTTGACAAGGATTCCACCGAGGAGTCTGCTCTTATAAACATGAACTCTTAAGAAATATATCGCCAAGTCTGTGTGAAAGAAAAGCAAAAGAGAAGAATCATGATTAGCGCTCTTCAGGTGTTAGGTTTGGAGCTTGAACCAGCTCATAAGCTAGAATGACAGTATTTTTTAAAGCTAAGCTGGTTCTGTGTTTGCCTGCAGAGAGGATGTGTAGTTATTTTACTGGACACAGAGTGGCACTTTCAGACGTTGCAATGCGAGTGACGCATGAAACGAGCTCCTCCGCTGTGTTCATAAAATTGCTTGGGAGTTTATTACCATGTGATTGCTGTGGATCATGTTCTTTTGAGTTACATTTGCACAAAGATGGACTAGTGAGGAGTGTGGATAGGTTTCCAGGTGGCAAGTCAAGCTTTTGACTAGTTTTTAAAGATTTGGAGCCAAAACAATCACAAAGTATTGAAAAAAGAGTATTTTTGTCTTGCACTCTGTATTAAAAAGAATAACTTTTTACTCCTTATGTCATTTTAAATTAAGGTCCCCACATTTGTCTCCTTGACTATGCAACATTATCTAAACATAAAACTTTCAATTTTCAGAGACAGAATTTTATTCTTTCCTTTATAGTATATGGAAAAAAAATCTATCTACCTTAAGGAAATATTTTTGTTAAGTTGCCTATGAAAACATTCCCCTTCGTGTTTCAATGAATCATGTTGCCCTTCTGTGTGATGGTGCCATGTTTTTAAAGCTTATCAGAGTTGTATTATAACAGATGACAAGTGTGTTTGTTTGAGTAGCCTGGATTTGATTAATGGTGTGACTGTAAAAAAGAAAACATGGATTGTGGTTAAAAAAAGAAATGTGTTTTTTGTTTTAAATTCATATATAGTTTTATTTCCCAAGAATATTTTCATACCTCAACTCATATTTATGATCAAGCTGTTTACTGACCAAGGGATCGTTGTATCGAGTTGAATCAAAATTCAAAGTATCTGTCAACACACAGGGAAAAAAAAAATCAAATAATAAAATTTGCATGGTAAAAGTGTATTAAATAGAACACTAGCAGGCACGTTTGCTCTGTACTCCCCCTGGGTTGTTTGTACAAGCTAGTGGTGGTTTTATCACAGAGTCAACAAATGAATGACATATAAAAACATAGGAATGTGCATTAGCAGCTAAGTAAAATGCAGCTTTTGAAGACAAAAATAAACAGAATTTTTTTTATATGTAATATGTAAGTGTACATAGGTTCAGACCTGTCTTAGTGACGTTAAGGACAAGCCCAAAATAAAATCAGACTCTGCAGCCGTCGTCAAAGCCTTGTGAGAATAGACCTTGAGAGAGCAGTGCTTTGAGCCAAGTGCTAATGTCAGTGCTATTCTTATCAGTGTCACAACATGCATGCATTTTAACATGCTTACATTATGTTAAGCAGGTATAAGTATCACTGTTGGCAATGTCAGGCATTAAATTTAAGAAAAAAGGATTGGACAAACAGAAATTGGAGTAAAAGGTACAGTATTTGGTTCTAAAATGTAGTGAAGTCAAAGTATGAAGTAGCAGGAAATGAAATTACTCAAAAAGTACAGGTACCTCAAAACTGCACAGTACTTGAGTAAATGTACTTAACTACTTTCCACTGCTGGTTGTAAAAGTTCATCTTGAGGGCACAGTGACTGTGTGTAGCGAGTTTCATCAATCCAGCAAATGCTGAGACATTCCACTGAAAACATTGCCTCACAATGGCGCTGGGAGAAAAGTCACCATGAGGGCATAAAGTTCAGCGAGTTCAGCTTATTCAAGGTCAAGGTCAAAGTGTTTATTTGTCATATGCACAGTTAGGAAACGTGTTTCCCTGTACAATGAAATTCTTACTTTGCTGTCCACATGAATGCCACACAATACTAATGAAATATAAAGTAGATAAATAAGTAACACAAGTATTCTGGCTCTCTAGGGGTTAAATCTAGTGGCACTGAGTGCAACACTGGCCGTCCTGAATAACCAGTATCACAAGGCCGGTTATCCGCTGGATCTGTTCAATCTGGCCGTTCAATCAGCCTACAGGCGCGTTCATGTGAGAGAGGCAGTGTTGTTAATTAGAAGCAGCAACAGCACCGTGAGTCAAGTAGGCCACCAAAACTAATATGTAATGGAGCAGTGATGGCTGCAGGAGAAATCGTTTATATAGCAAAAAGTGATGTTACGGTGGGTAAACTGTAACCAATAGTCACATAACTAGACTAAAATCAGAAGCTATAGAAACTCTAGGAATACATTTCAAATATTAAAGACAGAATATACCATACATTGACTCAGTATTCATTTGAATTCAATTCATTTTTTTGCTCCTTCGTCTGATGACAAAGAAACTGTTGTCAAAAAGTCCTACAATTTCTGCTGCCGGAGCGGAGAGGAGAGGACACTGGGGAGGAGCTGCACCTCAAGTCAGATGTTCGTTTACAAATAATCCAGAGGCACACTGATATGACTGCTCTGTAGAAATATTTATTTAATATTTATCACATCAATGCAGCACACTGATATGACTGCTCTGTAGATATATTTATTTAATATTTATCACATCAATGTAGACTCAGACTCTGTCCGGATCCAGTAGGAATAATCAATCACTCAGTTTTTCTTGTGATGGGGTGTTCAGGGTGTTGACAGGTTTCGATTTGATCCGCATAGGTTACCATGGTGATCTAGCCTGATTAAAAGTGAGCCAGCTTCGTGGTACTGAAAACCTGAGCTGAGCCCAAAGTTAGCTGGATAAGCCACTAATCTTGCTTCGTGTTACAGGCCCCAGGGCAAAAGTGTTAGACCAACAGAACCAACACTGCTGTCCTGAGCAGTAAACCATGCTGCTAAACATCAGCTTAGCACTTGCAGATACAGTATTGCTGAAAATTTGTTTGCTTTATTTGTTCTCATTTACTCTTTGTACTTAATTTTACTTTTATTTGCTTTATTTTAATATATACAGGGCTGACAAGGATGATACAGGCAGAGGTGATAAAGGTGACTGTGAGATGACACCAGTAGCTGAGAGAGAGACAAACTTATTAGTTTATTTCCTGGACAATTGGCCAGTCTGAGCAAGGCTGATGGCCTTGACAGCAGGCAAGGGGGGTCACTGGTACGGCCCTTAGTTGTGAAGTTATATGAAGAGGGATTTTTTTTAATGTGTTATAAAACATGGGATGTCAATCTTTTAACCTGGACTTGAACCTGAGGGAGTCAGCATGACTTTCATGTGCCATGTGAGGTCATTTAAATTTTTTTACATACCTACAGTATATTGACCAATGACATAACAATATATCCCTAAGCAGGTCAGAGAGAAAGGTGGGACAAAGCAAGGGTCAGGCCAAGGAGAAACTATAGAGGATGATACGAGCTCTATAGTTGCTCCGCTCCATGGACTGGAAACAGATGCTACTGGGGTGTTTTTGATTTTTGCTCAGTAAATGTTATACTTTGCAACAGACTGTTTAGACTTTGAGTGATTTTTGACAGCAGATAGAGAAGTGTGTGGATGAGGACTGAATCCTGTCTGGCTCTTGGAAAATGCTCTCCCACATTATGCTTGCATTTAAAAAGCATACATAACACGCCTGTGTGTACTTTTTGTGGTTAATTCATGTGTTCAGGTCTAAAATAGACTGGGATCTGTGAGACATTTACAGATTAGTAAAGCTGTACTACAGTTTATACAGGAATGTGGAGTTTCCAGTCATACAATAGGAAGCAAGCTATTAGTTACCAACTTTCTGGGTGAGTGGGGTGTCATGAATGCATCTTGCCATTCTCATCTTCACTAGTACGTCCAAAATACAATCTGACCTAAAGGGAACAACAGGTTTTAGCCAACCTTTCTGGAAAGGGTTCATCTTCTATAGGCCTATAGTACAAATGCAGGGATAGTTCAGACTAAGCTTAGCTCAGCATTATGTGTCTTGGCATTTAAGGCTCAGTCAGAACTGTGGTGAAAATCAGTAGGAATAATCAAAGTTGGTTTGTCAGCAACCAACCAGCACAATACAAACATTTTGGTATTAGTGCCAGTAACAGGTATTACTGCACAAACAAAAGTTGTGACTTTGGCCCAGTATCTCTTTACTTCGCTTTGTCAACACTGTCTGCTCTTATCCTGCCATTGTGCTCATTTTAAATCAGTTATGAGTGTCACATTATCTGTGATATATCAGCAGACGCATGAGCCAAAACTCATGCAGTACTGTATTTTAAAAGAAAAGGTTTGAGACAGTTTGAATTGATTTGATTTATTCTTTCAAGCATGTAAAGATAGTCGATATGTCAACACACATAATTTCACACATATCCACAAATGCTAATCTCTTATCAATTTCCTTATACCTAGTACGTGCTTGAATGGAGTAGGAAGAAGTCAGACTTATCCAGTCCTACCCCATGACATCATCTTACCATCATTGGTTTGCAAGCAGTAAATGATTCACTTCTACACCACACAAGTATTATATTAAAAAAATTATAACAGTTAACATTCTTACATAATTACATTCATAGATAATTATCTTCTACACTACACAAGTAATATACTAAAGAATTATTACAAAGTGTACACCACACCCACACCCATTCTGTAAATGAAAACTGATACTCACAGTAGGTTAACCTTCTGTATATGTAAGCACAAGTGACACTGTCTGTGTGTGTGTGTGTGTGTGGATGCACAGTGGATGCTCTTTTGCTTCCTGTAACAGTGCCCCAGTAACAGTGACGGCTACATGTCAGAAGTGCCAGTGACAGTAAACAAAGCTGACGAGAAAGAGAAGCCAAGAAATGTCACTGTAAAGTAATACGAACCCACAATGGCACAGCTTTCCTGATGAATGGCAACTACACTGTTAATTATATATGTCAATATCTACTGGACTATCTATTGCCAATAGCACTGCCAACTATTTAAAAATAAGGGCGAATAGGTGAAAACTGATTAAAAATGCACACAAACTTACCAACTATGCCACATTTGGTAAATATCAGCCTCAACTGTGTGTGAAATTGTAATCATGCCATGTTGAATTTTGGGTAAATGCACCATTTTGGGGGCATCACACTCATTATCAATCATAGTAATATACACTACATTTACATTACACTTCTGAAAGATTTTTTCGGCTCTTTTAACCAGTGGAACTCAGAGAGACGAAGCGGACCACTTGGATATATAAAAAAAAACGTGCTGGTTTATTCAAAGAATCACAGGTAAAATTAACATTACACGTCCAGGTATCTTCCACCTCCAATACTGCGCGCAGGCAGATGAAGAATGAAAGACCCTGAACCA